CCTCACCCTTGTAACGCGCTGCTTTTGCAAGGTTCCGTGAAAACGTTTCAGCTTTTATTTTCCTTTTTCGCCCTGAAGAAGATATCACAGGTTCATCAAGTTCATCAAGAGCCTTGTCACCTGACCTGAATACAGCGTCTTACGACTATACGACTTATCGGCTTCTGTTCAAAAACAACAAGGGCACTTGTCGGCTTCTGCAGTAAAACGTGAACTCGTGATGCCTTGAAAGTGGACAAAACCGGCTTTTTTGACAAAACGTGTTTAGGGTTCAGATCACGCTATATGTGGAGAATAATGCACGGCAATCAGCTCTTTTTTTTAAGTGGCATTTATCGGTTTTTGCAAATGAATTCTTCGTTTGTATCAGGACCCCAATATTATCTTGGACATCGAGTTGTGGCTAAAATTGTTTATTGTACAAAAGTAACATTAACATTGATTAATATTAGCATGAACTACACAGGCCAAACAATGTGTGAAATGATTAACATGACATAGGCTGAATGGTAAAACTGAGAATTTTGCTAATGCATAAACAGCAGCACAAGTGTGATTTATCAGCCTAACACATGGAACAAATACCAGGCCAAATATAATATTGGTATTAGTCATATTATTATAAGTGACAGATGGATTTGCACCAAAATACCATAAAGTTTGATTGGACAGCCTTTAACGTAAACAACAAAAGATATGGGAAGCATGATCTCCTCCGTTTTAAAACTTGATAAGCACATTTATTTTTCTGTCCTGACTGTGCACATTTGTAGGCTAGGTTAGTGTTTTATTATTTGCATTTTGCTTTTTTTACCTTGTTGCCAGTAAAACCCCATCAAAACAGGCCTGCAAACAATTTCTAGGCTACAAACCACCAGTTGAGAATTGCCTGCAAAAATGTCAAAAGATTTAAAATCTTAATATTAAACAAAATATTAAAAAGAATATAATATATAAATATATTTAATATATAATATATATACACCCCTAAAATCTAGAGTTTAAAAACATTCTAAAAGAGGGCGAATTAGAATAAGGAAATAAGGAAGACTGAAGGAAAAATTGACCTGGGTCCCAGTCTTTGAATGTGACTTATTTGCTTGCTGGATAAAATATACAATGTTTCTCTAATAACATTTCTTCGCTTTGCTTTGAAGAGCGGAAAACCTCAATTTTGTCCCCAAACTTATAATAATAATAATGGAGGCCACTTCAGAAGAACCTTCAAACCTTGTTTATTTGTGAGCCAATGTTTGTTTGTGTGTGTCTACAGATGGGACGGTGGGAAAACCACACGTTAAAGTTGAAGTTTCCAGTTTGGCCACGTTATAACTCATTTGGGGACATGGACGCTGATGAGAACCACTTGAGCATTGTGACTCTAGAGGAAAGACCCTTTGTTATAGTGGATGATGTGGACATTCTTACTGGCACATGCATGCGCAACTCTGTACCTTGCAGGAAACACATTAAAGAGTGAGTTTTTTTGTTTATTTAAATTTTAAGAAAAACTATAGCAGCTAATACCAGTTTTGAATAACCTAGCAGGTTGTGCAGGCATTATATATCCTATCTTAACCTTTAGCATAAGAGCTTTCTTTTACTGGGGAATACAGAAATAATTGTGCAGTCTCTAATGTGGTTATGAACTTTTGTGTGTGTTAAATTTAGAACATATTAGATTGAGTTATCTTCAGTCTTTCTCAGTATCAGCTGTTTTCTATATTGCTGTGCCTGTATATGCTGCAGTAATACCACGGAGGGCTCCTATATCAAGAAGTGCTGCAAGGGCTTTTGTATAGACATCCTGAAGAAGATTGCCAGAAATGTAAAGTTCACCTATGATCTTTACCTGGTCACAAATGGCAAACATGGCAAGAAGATCAATAATGTGTGGAACGGCATGGTGGGGGAGGTTAGTCACTTTCAATAACCTAATGAATGAATCATCAGTTTGAATTGCAGTCACATAGATGTCAGTTCTCCCTGGCTGTCTGGCTGTCAATCTATTGTTCTGTCTGTTTTTCTGTCTGTGTGTCTATATTAATCAATCAGGCTTTCGTCCCCCGCACTTTTTGGGGAAAATATGTTCACATGGCGGTTTGAATAAATCTAGATTTAAATTCAAAGAGACAAGATAGTCTATGCATGAAGACATTTTGTTGTATCCAAAATAAGGTGATGTGAAACACTCTCATGCAGTGTTTGTTTCATTCATACTCGAAGCTGGAGGGCGCTCTTGCACTGAAAGTTCGAAACGAACTCATAGAAGTAACGGTGACTTATGACGTGCCAGGAAATCCCTAATATGGACAAAAGCATCTAGCTAATGCTGTATCTAAGCCTAAAGGGGACATAACACACACAGTTTTGCCCAGTCTCATGTTAATCTTTAGTACCTATAGAGTAGTATTGCACCCTTCATACCTGCAAAAGAGTCTTTAGCCTTATCATATTAATAAAAGAAATATACAGCTTTACGATTCTCTTCAAAAACAGCTGAGCTCCTGGAGGCGATGAGAACTTGCGCACCGATTGCCAACAAAACACAGAAATTTGATGCAGTTTTACTTACCATCTCCGGTTCCGAATCATGACCAGGATCTTTTATCGCTGGGTTCGCTCCGTCTCTCAGTATCAAACCATGTGCAAATCCAGCACCGAACTGGGCCTTGTTTATAAAACATTCATCACCGAAATAACAGGAACAAATAAACACTTGCGAAACTCCGTTGCTGCCCCAGAAAAACAAAATGTATCCACTGTTCACGTAACGCTGGGTTTTTTGGGGAGCTGAACAAGGTTATCTTTCCCTCACATCCAAAAACACACTCCTTTAGAGACATTTTTCTTGAGCAAGTTTTCTTTTCTTCATGACGTCATGAAGGGCCATGCTCGAAAAAAAACTTTCCGAAACTTGTACAAACCTGGAAGGACTGTATTTGACACAGAATTACTCCGTCATACATTCAAATAGTTTTTGAAACTTTGGCCATGTTTAGCATGAGAATCCAACTCTTTAACAGTGTAGATAATTCATATTGCATGAAATGGCATTAGACCCCCTGCTTTAATAAAAAGCAGAAACGTTTTGACTTTTAAAACGTGACAATAGACAATAAACACGAATGCGACAATATATTGTTTGTGTTTTTCCAAGTCATCTCCAGATAATAAATAGATTATATAAATAACGTAGTGCTAATTGACACATAATTTGTTACAGTCCTTTCAGCCTTATTCTGTGATAAAAATGGAAAAAAGTGTTGGTACATATAAAACAATAAAATTGTCATTAGGAAAAATATTATAGAATATAAATTATTGTTTATTGTCCAGCAATGTATTTGATTTCTTAGCCAATTAAAAGAGATTAGGGAAAAAAGGTATTGCATTTGACGTCTGTCTGTCTGTCTGTCCATACATCGCTGTGGGCTCATTGACCATAAATGAAGAGCGGTCAGAGGCCATAGACTTCTCTGTCCCATTTGTTGAGACAGGCATCAGTGTGATGGTGTCACGTAGCAATGGAACGGTGTCGCCCTCTGCGTTTCTAGGTAATAGATGAAATAATATCTTTGAAATCCCTCTGGAACCAGTGTTTTTTTTTTTTTTATCTCTGCCTTCCCCCATGCATTTTCTCTATTCTCTCTCCTCCCTCAGAACCCTTCAGTGCTTCAGTGTGGGTTATGATGTTCGTCATGTTACTCCTCGTCACAGCAATCGCTGTTTTCCTCTTTGAATTCATCAGTCCGCTCGGTTTCAATAGAAACCTGGCACAGGGCAAAGGTATGGTACACAACCTCAACCACACAGTCAACCAACGTCTGCTTTGAAACAGCTAGAAAACGTAGTTAAAATTTTTAAATCCCAGCATTAAAAATTTAAACAGTAAGCACCTTGAGTAACCTGTAGATCCACAAAGCTCTTATGACTTCCCACTTACTCCTAACTCCTACTCATTAACTTTCCCTCTTTCTTGTCTTGCATTTCTATAGACCCTCATGGGCCCTCCTTCACTGTTGGTAAGGCTATCTGGCTGCTGTGGGGTCTAGTGTTCAACAACTCTGTCCCAGTACAGAACCCCAGGGGCACTACCAGTAAATTTATCGTGTCCGTATGGGCCTTTTTCGCTGTGATTTTCCTGGCCAGCTACACTGCCAACTTGGCTGCCTTTATGATCCAAGAGGAGTTTGTGGACCAAGTAACAGGCCTTAGTGACAGAAAGGTAAGGTTTTTTTTGTGAATCATGAAATATAGTGAGCTGTCTACTGCCTCATGAACCTGCATGTAAATCTGTACCTGTAACTGTATGTTAGGATGAAACTAAAATATTTGACAAGATTATACTGTCTGATAATTATTCTACCATTTAAAAGTTTGAGGTGATTAAGATTTTATGTTTTTGAAAGAAGTCTCTTATGCTTACCAAGGTTGCATTTATTTGATCAAAAACAGTAATAATGTGGAATATTGTTATTGTTTTCTATTATAATATATTTTAAAATGTGATACATTTCTGTGATGGCAAATCTGAATTTTTAGCAGCGTTACACCAGTCTTCAATGTTTCAAAGTTTTTGCTGAATATAAGTATTCATGTCTTAAACTGCATATATATATTACTGACCTCTCAAACTTTTGAATGGTTGTGTATGTAGAGAACCTTTAAGTAGTTAATGTGTTTTTTACTTTAATCATGTCGTATCTTGCCTAGGGCACTGGCGCCCCCTGAGAAAATATATGCATACTCCCCTGACAGCAGTTGTCTTGTTGACACTGAAGTTCTAACTTAATATAAATATACATTTATAGACATCATCTTACTCTGGCTCTGTCAGCCATCTTAGTGATTATTTGTTGCTGAGCTCAGCACAAATCCATTGTGAGATTACCTTATCTATGGATGACATGCACTGTAAAAAGTAAAAATATGCAGTTGGTGCTGTAGGAGTGTTCCATTCTCCTCTTAATAGTGTTCCATTCTCCTCTTAATAGTGTTCCATTCTCCTCTTAATAGTGTTCCATTCTCCTCTTAATAGTGTTCCATTCTCCTCTTAATAGTGTTCCATTCTCCTCTTAATAGTGTTCCATTCTCCTCTTAATAGTGTTCCATTCTCCTCTTAATAGTGTTCCATTCTCCTCTTAATAGTGTTCCATTCTCCTCTTAATAGTGTTCCATTCTCCTCTTAATAGTGTTCCATTCTCCTCTTAATAGTGTTCCATTCTCCTCTTAATAGTGTTCCATTCTCCTCTTAATAGTGTTCCATTCTCCTCTTAATAGTGTTCCATTCTCCTCTTAATAGTGTTCCATTCTCCTCTTAATAGTGTTCCATTCTCCTCTTAATAGTGTTCCATTCTCCTCTTAATAGTGTTCCATTCTCCTCTTAATAGTGTTCCATTCTCCTCTTAATAGTGTTCCATTCTCCTCTTAATAGTGTTCCATTCTCCTCTTAATAGTGTTCCATTCTCCTCTTAATAGTGTTCCATTCTCCTCTGGCCAGACGAAACCAGCAGTTTAATTCTAAGCTGCAAACAAACAAATAAAATAAAAAACAATAAAAAATAAATAATTAAATAAAACAAAAACAAAAGAAAAACTAACCAAAAAAAACAAAATAACAAAAGCAGTACTTTCTTTCTGGTACTTTTTGTTAGTGGTCAAAAAACAAAAAAACAAAAATAAGGGTTACAAAAAGTCTTAGAGAAATGGTTGGTACTTTATCAGCTATTTTTACCTTTTTTTTTTTTTTTTTTTTGCTAGTGTAAACTAATGTATTCCGGTTCATTCAAGTCGTAATAAATAATTTCTCTGACTTGAATAAAACCGGTTAATTTAGATGTTACCACATGAAGCACATTTCTCAGGCTACCTGACAAAACATATTTTACAGTGTGCTGTCTAGTTGGCAGCTCACTAGGTTTTGAGAAAGCATCCATATGTCATTATAAATTTACAAGATGGAGCGTCTGAACTACACCAGTTACTAGGTTTATCTCCCCCGGATACGTTTCTGTATTTGAGCTTGTATTGATTCTGTCCATGTATCTCTTAAAGCTGCCCTCACTGTTCTTCGTGTAATTGATGTATATTTTTTTTTCTATCTTTTCTAGTTTCAGAGTCCCTATTCCTATTCACCACCGTTTCGCTTCGGGACCGTGCCTAATGGGAGCACAGAGCGAAACATCAGGAAAAACTACCCAGACATGCACCAGTACATGGTGAAATACCATCAGACTGGAGTTCAGGATGCACTGGTCAGCCTCAAGACGGGGTACGGCTGGGATATGCACATTATTAGCAGTGCATGGTCAACGAGAATACTTCTGGTATACATAATGTTGATATTTCTGTATACATAAGCCACTAAGTGTGCTTTGTTGGTTTGTACAGTAAACTGGATGCTTTCATATATGATGCGGCTGTGCTCAACTATATGGCGGGGCGTGATGATGGCTGTAAGCTAGTAACTATTGGCAGTGGCTACATCTTTGCCACAACAGGATATGGCATTGCCCTGCAGAAAGGATCCTACTGGAAACGGCTGGTTGACCTTGCTATCCTCGGGATCATTGGAGATGGTATAAGTGTTTTCCTGCATTTCTTTTCTATTTTTTCACTTATTTCATGACCTCTGTATTAAACACTAGCTCTGTTCCTTACCGTAGTGAGATTCCTTGCTCTCTACAGTATGCAGCATCCTAAATGAAATGTAACTTCATAAATGATTGATTTGAAACACTCTACATAGAGATAAAACGCACACCCAGATGTGCAATATAAATATCATGAAGTGCATTCAGTTGATTAGAATAGATTTGACCTTGAACATAAAATACTGATTCTTTTTTTTTTTAATATATATTAAAATAGGAAACCGTTATTTTGAATTGTAATTATATTTTACAATACTAAATTTTTTCCCCTGTATTTCTGATAAAGTAAATGCAACCTTGGTGAACGTAAGAGACTAGGAGACTCATAGCCAGGGACCAGAGGTCAAATATGCAATTTGCTGTCATCATTATAAAAAAAAAAAATTTGACTGCAGAATGCTGCAAGCAACCAATCAGAATTAGGTATTCCAGAGAGTGAAATAATGGGTAAATGCAAATAAATAAAATAAAGTTGCAAATGAAGATTATTTTGTGTTTTTACAAGAAAATACAATTTCAGTGTTTCTATTTAAACATTTCACATTGAATTAATAAAAAAATATTCAGAGTATAAATTTATTTATTTTTTTTACCGTTTTTTTCAGTGTAGTTTTTTTTAGATTAAACTGTTATGCTATTTTAGATGAATAAAAAACTTAACTAAAAATATCTTTTTTTTTAATTCAGTTTATTTTTTATTTCACAAGGCAACATTATTTTGCTGCCTATTTAACAGCCTTTGCATCAGGAGCTTGCCTGAAATGCTTAAAAATGCACCCCAGGTAAACAGCTCGCTAGTGTTTGGAACAGAGCCAGAACGTGAGCCTGTTTTTTTCTGTGAGTCTGTGCATAAGCATTAACTGTGTGATGTTGTGTTGTGTATTAGGTGAGATGGAGGAGCTGGAGGCCCAGTGGCTGACTGGTATCTGTCATAATGAGAAGAATGAAGTGATGAGCAGTCAGCTGGATGTGGATAATATGGCTGGTGTGTTCTATATGCTCGCGGCTGCCATGGCTCTGTCGCTAATTACTTTTGTCTGGGAGCACCTCTTCTACTGGAGGCTACGTTACTGTTTCACTGGTCTCTGTTCTGGTCAGCCAGGAATTCTCTTCACTATCAGCAGGGTATGTCACAGAAAGACTATGGTAAATTAACTAGAGAGGTTCTGTTGCTGAAGGCAACCATTATCTGCTCAATCTTGACATATTAACTTGTCATGGTGGCTGTTTACCACAGTTGTCTTAAAGCTTCATCAGTGTAGGGATTGCTGCTTATGTGCTGACAAACACATTTTTTGCTGCAAAATAAGAAAGAGCTTATATAACAGAATGTAATGGCACAAGCCACCGTCTCTAGAAATGAGTTACAGGGTGCGGTTGTTTGTCACAGCGGGATATATTACTTTATTTCATCGGTTTATAGAGTTTCAGACTCCAGAAAAAATACAGCGGGACTATATTGAGAAATATTGTACTAATATATACTTTTTGTTGTTAGCCTCCACTTATGAACTTCTTTTGTTAACCTTTCCGTCTCCGTTTCACCTATAGGGGATTTGGAGTTGTATTCACGGTGTCCACATTGAGATGAAGAAATCCCCAGAGTTGGGCTTCAGCCCTCAGGCCAACATGTTACACCTTCTGAAATCGGCTAAAGAGATCACCACCCTCGGAGTTACCTCACCCAAACAGTCCGTGAGTAGCATTCTCCATCCTACCACGGGCTTGCTGGAGATTATGGATGGAGCAAAAGGCAACAACCTCACCCAGAAAAACGCTCCCTATATTGATTTATAGAGTTGTAGACCCAAGAAAAAATACAGTTGGACTATATTGAGAAATATTGTGTTAATATGTACTTTTGGGTGTTAGCCTCCACTTATGAACTTCTTTCTGTAACCTTTCTGTCTCCATTCCACCTATAGGGGATTTGGAGCTGTATTCACGGTGTCCATATTGAGATGAAGAAAACCCCAGAGTTGGGCTTCAGTCCTCAGGCCAACATGTTGCACCTTCTGAAATCGGCTAAAGAGATCACCACCCTTGGAGTTACCTCACCCAAACGGCCCGTGAGTAGCAATCTCCGTCCTACCACGGGCTTTCTGGAATTTATGGACGGAGCAAAAGGCAACAACCTTGCCCAGAAAAACGTACCATACAGCAATGCCAGCACCATGCTCAGCAACCGTCACAAAGAGCCACTTAACAATACTCTGTTGCCAGGGCAACGTGCCCTGAGCTTGACGGATGCTCAGCCAGGTGTTGCTGGAAACGGTGGCTCAGGAGGCGGAGGTGAGACCGCTCGACCTCCAGCCTCCAAGCCACGTGCTCTGTGGAAGAAGTCTGTGGAGACTCTGCGGCAGAACCAAGGTCCTGGGGGTAATTCCCCTCCATCTACCCCGCAGCCCACCGAGACCCTACCTATGAAGAGCCAGCGCTACCTGCCTGAAGATGCACCCGCCCGCTCAGATGTGTCAGATTGCTCCGGTCGGGTGGACTTGCAAAAGCAGCACAAGTTAAAAGAAACGCTTCGGAAACGGAACCGCCTACCGCGGGATCTGAGCGACGTGGAGCTTTCAACTCTGCGAAGCCAGCCCAGCCAGCAGAGTAACCACAGTGCTCAGATCTACTCTCAGAGCAGCCAGGGGAGTCAGATTTATACCATTGACTCCATTGATCAGGAGCATGGCCTGCACTACCCAGATATCTTCAGCGATCACCGCGATAACAAGCACCGGCCGTCCTCTTCCTCCGAGCAGCAGCCAATCCTGCAGCTCAACAGCAGTCTGCTCTCACAGGTCCACGAACCGGACGTGATGCAAACCGCCGTCGCAAAGGATAAGAAATACAACACGTACGGAAAGCCTGGCGGTGCAGGGACCATCACCGGCGGGCCTGGTTCTACTCAGGATCCACGACAGACACACTGCCGTAGCTGCCTGTCGAAAGTGTCCAGTTACTCTGGGCTTTACACTGTACGGTCCCCTCAGTATCGCTGCGATGCCTGTCTGCACTCCGCAAACCTGTACGACATCAGCGAGGATCAGTTCCTCCATCCAGATGGACGGGGCACTGGCGGCGGAAGTGTTGACAGGGCCTTCTCTCCTTTTCTCCCTCAACCTGATGCTTCCTTCACAGCCTATCTTCCCCAGAGTGACCAAGAGGGTGACGGTCTTATTAGTCACTACCAGAACGAGGGCGTAATCATCCGCCAGCACTCGTACGAGAACCTGCCCCAGAAGAGTTCCTCACGGCGGGTCAGTCTGCAGGACAACACGCCATATGCCAACGTTCCCTCGGCGACTCTGATCCCAGACAAGCCCCCGAAAAATCAGTCGGTCCACCTAAACCACACGCTCGCCGGGGTGGGCGTCAGCGGACTCGGGATCGGTCGTCGCAGCAAGTCGATGTATCCGGCACGCCCAACGGAAAACCCGTTTCTCCAGACACTCCGCGATGACCAGCGTCTAGCTCACGGCCGCAGCTCCACAGACATTTATAAGCAGCTCGTGCCGCTCACATTAGGCCAGGCCGATGGCAATGTGCTCAGCGTGGGGATGCCGACCCCTGACCTCTATTACTCCGAGCATGTCATGCCTTATGTAGCCCCTCCCCCTGTCGGCACATACACCGCTCCCAGGGCAATGAGCGCTGGGGGAGCTCGGCGTGTCTACAAGAGGATGCCGAGCATCGAGTCTGATGTCTGATGGAGAGAGTGCAACGTGGTCTGGAAGACTATGAAAAGACATGCATGGATATTTCCACCAGGATATGGCTTAACCGTGGAACTCTTGGCGGGATTGTAAAGCTTTTTGACTATAAGGCAAGCAAGTCTGGAATATATTTTGTTTCCCTTCTTGGACTTATCTTTCTGAACAGAAGTAAGAGTTCAACTTTACATCAGGTCCTCCCCTCTAGTCGAGCAGCAGCTCTGTGTCTTCCAGAAAACATCAAAAATGGTGGGCAGGACGCTCTTGCGCCTTCGAGCGAAGGAAGAGCAGCAAAAGCTGCTTGGAAGTACAGGGGCAGCTCCAAAGAGTTTCCTTTTTCACGGAACACGAGCAACCAAAAAATTGAGTAAATAAAAACATGAGTGAATTCCCACATTCTGCACTTTTACACACACAAAAATACACATGCACATGCAAGAGGCACAAACAATCTCAAACTACTGAAAGGACAGCGTTAGGTATAAACTAGAATCTCTTTTGCCCCAAAAAAACTGAGTACCACATACAATGTAATAGCATAAACGACAGGCGTGCACTTGCACGCAATCACATGCTCTAAAATAAATAATCGCTTAGCAGATCCAAACCTGATTGAGTTTTTGGAAAGGCGGCAGAACATCTGTTACACTGTTTGAAAGGCTTATGAATGCATTTCGATGTAAAAGCTGCGTTGAAGCACGGTCCACAAAGCCTGCTCAGAGTTCAAAGATTAGATTTCCATTCCAGCCTGAACTGTGACAAAATGCACTACCTGTATGATTAGTCTCGGGTGTAATCTCTGAAATCAAGTACGTTAGAGAATTTCAGAGAAGGAAAACTTGATGCACACAAGGCCTGTGACTCGTTCGTGTCTCTGAGGACACCAAGTGGAAAAAGTCTTTGACCCTCCCCTCCCTTGAATCCGTCCGTACCTTGCCTGCATGCAGAGTGCAAACGCAGGAAGACACTCCTCTGCTCACAGCACAACAGTGTAGTAAGTGTCATTGTTCATTCATCTAAATTTGATCATCTTGAGCATATTTCTATAGTTGTCTAGAATATAGAAAAAAGTGATAGTCAATTTTTACAGTTTTCTACACTGCCAAATATTTGAAAAGGGTGTGCCAAGTGTATTTATTGTGTTATAGAGAGGAAGACTGCAGGAAAAGAAATGCAGGGAAGTGACAGAAAAAGAGGTATACCGTCTTTTTTGTGGGCGTAAGGGACTCCGAGAAGGCATAGAAAATGTAAAAGCCCACACCAACTAATGATGTCAATACAGAACCACCGAGATATAAAAAGTTCCTGTTTGCCTCGAACACACAAACACATCACTTCCTGTAGAATCCAACCACACACTCATACTTCACAAATATTTTTGGTTGTTTTGAATTATAATGGTCGTTCCAGCGATATGCACAATATCAGGTTGCAATATTATATTTATGTATGAAATTTCCTAGTTTTAATATGTTTTATTATTAGTTCCTTTCATTTTATGAATTGTTATACACGTGGAATTAATTTATCAATGTGATTTAATTGCGTATATATATATATTTAAAAGAAAAAAGATAACAGCATGTTAATCTTCTCTATGGTCAAACTTTTAGAATTGTTCTTTTTGATTTTGATGTGAATGGGAGTATGTGTTTACAGTGAATGTGAAAATATGGATTCATCTCAGATGTGATTTTGATTCTCATTTGAATACAAACATAAAACTGTCGTATGACCAAACGCTAACTGGATCACCTTTCTTTGCTGTGTTTTCAGTAAACGCGAAGTGAGGTTAACCTTTCAGGGTACATACTGGGTTTCAGACTCACCACACGAACATGGTTTGAAAATAATAAAGAATATATTGTGGCTTTAGAAAAGTGAAGAATTTTTCATAAGGTCAGTCTTTCAGATGCTACACGTCTGCCTCTAACCATTTCCATTCTGTATCCGGACAGGCGTTCTTGTGTTTACACTCTCAAGAAATATTCAAATGAGCTGTTTGTTTTTAACCTCATTAATGTCTACGAAATACTAGCATATTCATATTTCGTATTTCATATCAGCCTCCATGGAAAAGGCCATGTCTGTGTGCATCAACATCCCACTTGAATGTAGACAACAACAACCAGGCCCAAGACAAGGTAGGATATTTTAATGTCCAGAGTAGATGGGTTGTGATTAGATTGTAGTGGTTTACACCACCGGTATGCATTTGCATTTACAGGTAGATTTTGAATAAATTTATTTGCACATTGATCTGTTTTACATCCCTTCCATTATGCAAATTTAGACCAATTTACACTTGCTTGATCCCATGCTAGAATTCAAAATAGTGTAATAATGTCAAATTATGCTAATGTTGAGTCTCATTCCTCACAAACATTGTGCTGTATTCCTACAATTGGTAGGATCTGAATTTGTCATAAAATCGAAGAGCTCACATGATAAAAATGGGAAATTAGTGTTTACTAAAACCATAGACATGTAAGTATAGTCACTTATAGGCTGAAAACAGACACAATAGCCAAATTTATAATTATTACTTGCTAATTGTATTGTTTTGTAATGTATTCATTTCCATTGAAAAGTACAATTAAAAGCTATTTATTTTTTCCATTAGGTCATTTATATTCTGCAGAAGAAAATTCTAAAGGATATGGTGAGATGCAACTGCTTCTATTTTTCAAAGTTTCCCTTGAAATATACTTTTAGTATCACTTGGTACTATTTAGGTTATTTTGATATGACCAGTAACAGTATGTTTCATTCTTTTAGGTGAAATCTAGCTGTGCAAGTAAATCAAAAATCAAAGTGACGAGTAGTCCTGTGGTAGTGAAGCTTTAATCAGGTAGTTTTTCACATATTTTGGCCAAATTTTTGCTTTATAAAATTAAGCTACATATGAAATTGCTGCTGTTGTGTAAAGCCGATTTGTTTTTCTCTGACCTAATTGTAGAAAGCTGCTTTTTGTTAAGTTAATCAGCTAACTTATAATCAGTGGAAAATTGCTGATTACATTACCACTTGTCGAGTAACAACTGAACAGTCTTCTAGCAAACACATGAAATCTTATGTGATGCATATCCATGCAAACAGCAGCACCACAATGTTGCACTATTGTAAAATGGTTGCTAGCCGATTAAAGGCCTGGCCATTTTGAAAAATTATTTTCAGCTCTCCAAAGAGTCAAATGATCTTAGGTATATAATTAATGTCCATAGCACAAGTGTAGGGAACCTCTGACAATGATTTTGTATATTACAAAGGCTAATGTATAGGTAGTATCAGTAAGGTATATAATTTAAATTTAATGCTGACAACCTGCAGCATTTTCCTGTATCAGCAGTGTTTGCCTCTGTCACAAGCCTCTGTCACAAGCCTGGCTACAGAGAAACATATGAAATAGCCCATTCCTTTTAAATGAAACATAATCGTGTTGATAACAGCTACATGATGGGCTTCTGGCAGATCTTTCAAAACAACTTTGCATTGGATTGTATTCTTTTTTTCCTGTAATTTGTAGTTGCCAAAAGACCCTGACAAATGTGGCATCTCGTGGCACTGCAATTGGCTCAGAGAAGGAAGAAATGCTCTGATTTCAGCACAACTAGTATGTCCTTAAAGGGATAGTTCACCCAAAAAATACATTTTGTAATCATTAAGTCACCTTCATGTTGTTCTAAACCTGTATCTATTTCTTTCTTGTGCTGAACACAAATGAAGATATTTAGAAGAATGTTGGTAACCAAACAGTTGAATTCCATAGTTTTTATTTTACTACTTCTCCTTCTTTATATACTGTGGAAGTCGATGGCTACCAGCAACTGTTTGGTTTGCCAAACTTTACCATAATATCTTTTGTGTGTGCGTGCATGTGTGTGTGTGCGCGTGCAACATAAAAAAATAAAATCATACAACTTTGGAATAATGATGACGAAATTGTCATTTTTGGATGAACTACCCCTTTAATATTCACTTTATCAGCACTTTTGAGAGAGTCTTATAAAGAATAGCTGCATTATTCTACACTGATTTCTGCACAAAAAAAGTCTACAGATATCATTTATCTGTATACACCCACACAAATTAGGTTTTTATAATGTTTTGTAAGAACACCAAAGCTGCATTTATTTCATTAAAAGCAGTAATATTGTGAAATATTACAATTTTAAAGAACGTTTTCTACTCTAAAATGTAATTTAGCCCTATGAGGGCAAAGCTGAATTTTCAGCAGTCATTTCTTCTTCAGTCTTCAGTGTCACATGATCCTTCAGAAATCATTCTAATGTATTCTAATAAATGCAGCCTTGGTGAGCATGAGAGACTTATTTCAAAAACATTAAAAATGTTTAATTAGTCCAAACTTGTGACTGGTAGCTATACTGTATATATAGATATCAGTCCTTGCCATAGCACACACAGTAACAGTCAGAGTATTTGTGCAAGGTAGACTATATAGTACAAGTAGGCTGATGCACTGTGAATAGACTAATGTGTGTGTATTTGTGTACACTGGGAATAGACAAATGCTGTTTATGTTCACTGTTGTCACAGATGTATGTGTGAGGACTTTGTGTGTGACTACTGTGGGTAAGTGTGTCTTAGTAGGCAATGTATCTGATTATTCATTCGGATTAATATCACTAAACAGTTCAATTGTCCTGGTTAAAGGTGAAGTGTGTAACTTCATTAAACGTTAAAACTGCTGTCAAAACCTTGCTCTGTTTGTTTTGGGCATCACAACCAGCCCAACACCACAACACTGACCCAACCAAAGGCTGTTTGTCCAACCAATAGATGATATGAGTGTTTGGAAAACCTATTTGACAACAATAATTTTTGTAATAATTATTTGGTGGTGCAGAAATTACACACTTTAGCTTTAAATTTTCTGGGATTTTTAAAAAAACATTTTAATTTGCCCTCACAATGATTTCTTCTGCAATATCATACAGAACTGAACTGATTTTTAAAAATCTTTCATTTTGTTTTAAATCAATATTTAATATAATGCATAATGTAACAAAATCCGATAATAAAATATTTTTTCTCAATGTCTAGTAAAATTCTGAAAAAGGCCATTAGACTTGGTTTAACAAGCATTTACTTGCTGAATTGTATCATATAAAGACATATAATAAATTTTCAGATGTTTCTTAGTATTTTTCTCCATAGTGGTATTTCATAATGTTCATGCATGTTTTATGATGGATTTCTGTATCCATTGAGACCCTGTGGTCTGAAATAAAGGATAGCTAGTTCTAGTTTTATTTCTCCATCGCTGTTTTTTTCATAGAGGGTTAAAAGACCACTTTGCATGCTTTACAGATTTCCACCAGATGTGACTATTTCTTGAGAGCACTTTAATGGCAGGGAATGCACTTCATGAGAGAACCTCAATGGGAGAATGTAAGCACACTACAGAACTATTTGATTTTCAATGCTATAATTTAGATGATTTTATAAAGACTTGGGTTGTCATTTAACACACTTTAGGCCATACCACAGCATTGTATGGTTTCAGCCCATATTACTAATGATACAAAGCATGTTACAGTGCTAATGAAATGGGCAAAAAGTACATGTCCATTAATATGCCTGAGCATGACTTAATTCATTTAATTTCATTTAAAGCTATTGTTTTATTTGATCTATTTTTGTTTCATTTAATTCACTTTAGCAATTCTATTCATACTATTAGTTATTTTAGTATGTGATAGTGACAGCAGGATTTTTCTCTATTATTCAAAGCAATGCAATGTTAGTATTTCTATACTATTATAGTATTTATTGATATTTCTAATTAGCTTTTAGTTTTTGCTTCAGTTTTCATTTTGGCGTTTAGCTTTTCATTAGTTTTTTATTTTAAATATTTTGGTTGGCTTAAATTTATTAATTTTAATTAATAAATTTAAATAATTCATTTTAGTTCTTCATTTTAAACTCATTTCAGATAGCTGCCAAGGCTAGCTATATATATATATATATATATATATATATATATTAGTTGAAGCTAAAGTTTTTCATCTAATATTTATACATTTTTATTTAGATATTTAATCTAACATTAGATTTATCTAACATTTATAAATTAATTTGAGTTTACGATAAGAACACATAGCAATTTTTGCTGGATACTTAAAAACCTTTTCTAAAATAATTTTTTAAATAAATAATAAATAAATAAATTTTTATTTTATTTTCCTCTCTCCGTTGCTCTCTTGCCTGTTCTGTAATTTTCATGCTTTTCATACTTTCTCTCTCTTTCCGTTTTATTCTTTATTTATTAATGACTTTTGACAGTTATTTATAATATCTGTTATGTTTTAATGCATATCAAGGACCAAACGCCTCCATACATTCCCACTCCGGAAATCTGGAGTCTGTGTCTCTCTCAGTGTGTATGCATGTGTCATAGTGTGTTTAGTGATGCACACGGGTGAAAGCAGTACGTTTACTCATCACTGGGTACTAAAAGGTTCAGATGTATTGTGGTGAGGCTGAGAGGAGTCAGTGCGAAGGGCAGATGAGAGTCTATCAAACGAGTTTCCATCATTTATTCTGCTTCAAACAAACAGCCTCAAATACACAGGCATTAATCTGCAGTCAGATCGTCCGAATCTAATTAATCATGACATGATCCATATGCACAACTATAGCCTGCAGTAAAACGGCACACAGGCTCTGACATGTTTACATTGGTGCCTATCAGAGAAAGAGAGAGGAGCTGGAGATAA